GAGACTGGAGAGGTGGCTCAGAGGTTAAGAGCACTGGTTGTTCTTCCAGAGGTCTTGAGTTCAATTCTGAGCAGCCACATGTTGACTTATAACCATCTATAATGAAGATCTGGTGCCCTCCTCTGGCCTGCAGGCATGCATGCACATAGAACACTGTATACATAATAAATAAGTAAATTTTTTTTTTAAAAAAAGCAAAAAACTAACTGGGACATACAGTAGCTCCAGAATAAAGGCAGGGCCTTGATCTCAGCAGCGTTGACTACAGCGACTCTCCCTTATAAACCTGTTTACTGTTTTTTTGTGATTACCTATTTTGTTGTTTTAGCCACTCATTTGCACAAATGCTTCTTTCTGTTTCCTTGTTGGGACCTTTTTTGTTGTCTTTTCCATAACTTGTTAGAGCTGGCCCTTGTTTTTATTTCTTCATTTATTTTTCTACCCCAACTATTCCCATAAGTTCTTCACTTCCGTTGCTAATTCTGAGCTACTGACTCCAACCTCTACACTCCTATTCTTTTAGCATCTTCAGGCCCCTGCTGGACAGTCTATTGAATGATCAGCTTTCACTTGAATGCAGCACACACCGGAGACTTCAGATACTTTTAGCAGTCCTTGATCACACAGCCCCTGACTGTAGCATGAATCTTAAAAGTTTTTATTAATAAAAACAAACCTGAGGCCAATTATTGGGGTGAATTCTGGAAGATCAGAGAAGCAGAACAAGACACAGCTACCTCACCTCACCAGTTCCTCAGCTGATCCTGTTTCCTCAGACTGGAAGCTTCTCAGTCCTCATCCAGAATGAATCTCAGCTGAACTGTGCTGCTCAAAGCCTAAAAGCTTAACCAGCCAAATGCTTCTAGTTTCTGGTCCTCACACCTTATATATCTTCCTGCTTTCTACCACCACTCCCTGGGATTAAAGGTGTGAGTCACCATGCTTGGCTGTATCCTTGAACACATGGATTTCTGCCTCTGGAATGCTAGGATTAAAGGCGTGTGCTTCCGCTGCCTATCCTCTATGTTTAATATTGTGGCTATTTTGTCTCTGACCCCAGATAAGTTTATTAGCATGCACAATATTTTAGGGAACACAATACCACCACACCTGACTCCATTCACAGGGAGTCAGACAGATGGACCCTCTGTTCTGTTACTCATTGGGAGCAGGAGAATTCAAGATTAAGCAAATTGCCACAAAATAATTGTTCCAGTTTTGACAGTGATAAGTAAAAGGTGATATTTTTCCAAGCCTACATTCAACACTTAGGAAAGATTCCATAGGAGCAAATTATTCACAGTCTACAACCCTTTAAAAATGCGTTCTCGGACTCCTTTGCCAGGCTTCACTCAGTCTTTGGGCCTGATCTATCTCATTCATTCTTGTAAGAGATTTTCTTTTGGCAGCTTTGAGCAACAAAATTATCTGATTTAGCAGATTCAGTGAAAGGCTACTTAGAAGAAAATTTTTGATATATTCAGAGGCTGAACGCATAAAAAAAAAACAATCTTGTTCTGTGTTTAGTAACCACGGAAACATGTCCTTGTGAAATTCTTATGGTGGACCTTTTAGAAAGACATCAGGATTATGAAAAGTATAGGCGATATTCTAGAAAATTTCTCAAAATTAGCTAGTTATCATTGGCTAATCATGTTAAAAATCAATGTTTTAATATAAGCAGTCACTTTATTTTTGGGCAAAAGAATCCGAACATTTTCTCCCTGCCATTCCCCTATTGAGTAAAGTGGGTCATTCTGTTAATCTCATTATTTAATAAACAAATGAAATGAAGATACATTGTGGATACTTGGTTGACACTGTGACATTGTAGAGGAGGCACAGAGACTGAATATGACTGGCTAGAGGGAAAACGCACCATTCAGTGTGAAGCCAGGCATGGAACACAGCATGCTAGACAAGCTTAAGGAAAGACAGGAGGCTGAATTACAGAGCACGTGGCTCTCTGGGAACAGGACTACTCAAGTCATCTATGAACGTTATTTCACAGAGAGATGGCAGTTTGCACCACTCCTGAAAAGTTAGAAGATAAAGTCAGAGTGTTTAAATGCACCACCAAATTATTGTCATCCATGTAATCCCTTGCTGTGGGATGTCTTTCTGTATGCTGTGAATATGTGTTGCTCTGATTGGTTGATAAATAAAGCTGCATTGGCCTATGGCAGGGCAGGAGGGGAAACCCAAGGGAGGTAGTGAAAGGAGAAAGGAGAGGCAGAGAGATGCCATCCCGCTGTCCAGGAAGCAGCATGTAATAGGGCACAGGTAAAGCCACAGAACACATGGCGACATATAGAAAAATAGAAATGGGCTGAGTTTAGTTATAAGAGCTAGCTAGCAAGAAGCTTGAGCCATAGGACATGACCATAAGTTTGTAAATAATATTAAGCCTCTGAGTGATTATTTTATAAGCAGCTGCAGGACCGCGGGCCGGGCAGGACTGGAGAAACCTTCCGACTACAACTCCTCTTTCTTTTTGAGACAGTCGTGTATAGCTCAGAGTGGATAGGAATTTACTGTGTAACCTAGGCTGACCTTGGGCTTACAGATACTTCTGCCTTTATCTCTGTAGGGCTGGGATGATAGTACATGCCACACACACTAGTCTGATTTTCAGTTCTCAGTGAGTTACATGACTTATCCCTAGTTTACAAGGAGAACAGTGGTCTTTCAGAGAGAATACCAAGCTTTGCAACTAACTGGGACATTCCTCAGGCAGCATTCACACTGTTCAGTGCTGCTGTCTTATAAAACGAGTGGCTGTTCTTTTCCTGCTCTTTCATAATCTATGCTGTGGGAATTAGCTAAAGTCAAGGATCACATGAACTGTTGAGATACTGAAAACAAGGAAGCTCTTCTTCATGCTTTCTGTAGTTTTCCTCTTCTTTTATTGATATAGGGAGCAGAGCAATCATTGAGGACAAAGCCAAGCTCAGTACAGTGAACATTTCTTGTTAGAACATAAACCAGGAGATTTCTTGTTTGTAGATTTTTTTTTTCCAAAGACATCTAAAATATCAGAAAGATCTAATCGGTGCTTTTGTTTAATTTTAACCTTTCTTGATCCTCACTGAACTATTTTAAGTAATTCTGCAAAGATGCCCACTCTCAGTTCCTTTCCAAATAAAATGGGAATGTTTCTCAAGCATGTCCAGTCAGCTCAGCAGCACCACCCACCTCTTGACACACCTTGGACTGTGGCACTGCCCCAGCACCTCAGGGATAGCCTCTTCCACTCTGACAAAAGGAAAGCACTGCAGAGACTCCTCCAAATGAGGAGAAACCACAGAGCAACTTCTTGGAGGAAGAAGCTGAGCTGTCAGACACGGGGTTTCTAGCGCAAGTCAGGCTTGAGCTGGCGGTTCTCAGCCAAGAGTGCGGCCTCATTGGTCTCATGGAGCAGAAAAGCAGCCTGGCCAACCCTTACCCAAGTTTCTGAAACAAATCATCAGGAAAAAGGAACCAGTGCTCTTTGTGTGACTAAATTTGGGAATGGCTTGTTACACCAGAAGACATGGCTGAGGTACTAGAAGTGTTAAAAGCCTATACCAGCCATGGCCAGATGACTAAGGCTAGTTGGGTGACTTGATCTGTGAGCTCATGGTCCAGAACCCTCATGGTGTTTCCTTAAGTGGCCTGTGGTCAGAGGGAAATGATCTTCACAATGCAATCTGGTATATGTTCTTTTATATACATAGTACATTTGAAATTCTGAAAAGGGAGAATCCTACCTTCCAAGTGCCTCTTTGAGTATAAAATTCATTTGCCAAACAAGGAGAAAATTTAATCTGACAACAGGTTTACCTTTATATCCATGCATAATCCCCTATCCCCTGAAAATTAAAATACTGGATTTAATACTCAGGTATTTATTCATGATGGCCATCAATTATGCTATTGTAATATTTTATATACAGAATATTGTAATATTTTATAGTTGATTTTAACAGTGATGTTTTCTGATTATCTTAGTCATTGGAAAGTTGGTGAAATACAAGATAGACAAGAGCATGACTTTTGGCCACAAAGGCAACTTTACAATGTAAGCATCAGTGTGCAGGTTGTATCAGAATCTTAAATAACCTGAATTCCTGTTACTGTACTCACTTTGTGTGGATCAGATTCAAATGGTCATTAGGTCCATAGAGAAGGCATGTGTTCAAAAGGCCTTTTTCACCAGGCAGTGATGGTGCATGCCTTTAATCCCAGCATTGGGGAGGCACAGGCAGGCCAATCTCTGTGAGTTCAAGGCCAGCCTGGTCTCCAAAGCGAGTTTCAGGAAAGGCACAAAGCTACACAGAGAAACCCTATTTCAAAAAAAAAAAAAACAAAAAAAGTAGCCTTTTTCCTCTTTCTTTCTTTCTTTTATTTATTTATTTCTTTTTTTTTCTTAAGACACAATCTCACTATGCAACTCTCGCTGGCTATGTAGACAAGGATAGACTCAAACTCACAGAGATCCTCCTGCCTCTGCCTGCTGCAAACTGGCATTAAAGGCTATGTATGGTGACATTTTAACATTTTATTTTTACTGAAATGTGATTTTATTTGTATGTTAATAAATAAAGAGGCCTGGGGGTCAGAGCTAATAGCAAGCCATAGCAGAAGTCTGGCAGTGGTAGCACACACCCTTAATCCCAATCACATGACAGGCAGATCTCTGTGTGTTCAAGGATACCACCAGCATGGAGACACATGCCTTTAATCTCAATACCAACCATAGAAGACCTGGAGGTCTGTACAGACAGGCAGTGATGAGGAGGTCATGTGGTTGGGTTTACAACCAATGAGAAGGCAAAACAGAAAGTCTATAAAAAGACAGATACACAGGAAGTAGCGCTCTTACTCTTGCTGAGAGGAAAGACAGCAGCGGCAGCGAAGGGTAAACTCAGCTCTCAGCTACTGCTCTGACCTCTTGGACTTTTAACTCTGCAATTGGCTCTGTGTTTCTTATTTAATAAGACTGTTCCTCTACAGCTATGTCTGGCTAGAGAGCATATTTTATTCACTCCATCACAGTGGCTTTGGTGTCCACCCCTTCCCAACATTAAACAGCCGATTCTTAGCTCTTGTGAATTTACTTTATCTTAAGATGTGCCTTCTTGAAGCAGGACAACCTACTGATTAAACAACTGTCCACAGTGGTTGGATGATGACTTGGTTCTGTCTTCTTTTATTCTCTAAGAACATTTTCAAGTCAAGAGTATAGCAGTGCTGGACATTCTGACTTCATTTAGAGTTGTATAGCTGTTGGAGCAACAGACAAATGTTAAAGGGATAGAACTACAGCCTGAAGAAGGCTTCAACTTATCTATAGTCTTCCATGTTCTGTCTGAGTTGAGTGCTACCCACCAGGTAAGGTGATGGAAGTGGCCCTGATGCTATGGGATGCTCCTTCAGGAAGAGCCAGTTCCTGGGAACAAGCCGCTTGCTTCCTGTCTCTTGGTGCTTGTAGGGGTTTTCCTTTCTTTCTGTCTTCATCACCCTACTGTGTCTTTTCCCCATTGGCTTCTTCTTATTCTAGTTTACAAGTACATGCTCCTAAAACTAATGGGTAGGGAGACTTTTATTACCAATTGAAATTTCCTCTACTTTTGTGAAGCAGTGAAATCTGAGAAATGACAGAAACTGAATGGTTCAGTTAATATAATCCCTAAGAGGTCCTCATCTGCTAACTTCAGTGTTTCCTCTTTCAGATCTAACAGTGTCCAGTACCTAGGGGACATCCAGCTAGTAGTGTTTGTCAGATGGCTGCTGTGATGAATAATTTATCTTTGCTTTTAGCACATCACAAGGTCACATACTGTTCACCTGAGTGGGTTTTAACACATGCTGTTCATACACTTTCTAAATAAAAGCATAGGTAGAAAAGGTAAAGATCACGTAGATAGATTTATTTTTAATGATTGTAAGTCTGTGTGTACCAAGCTAGCGATATGAGTAGAACATTACATCCTTCATCATTTGAAGCTGACTTCAGTATGCTACGCTCCTTAGTGTTGACCTGAAACAATTGACCCGGATGTCATGTTACCACCAAGTGTTAGCATTCCTGAGGTTGAGGCAACAGGGCCATGAACCCACAGGCTTCAAACAACAGAGCTTGTACTCCCATAGAATTGAAAGTCATGAGCCTGTCATCAAGTGCCACACTCCCTTCAAAGTGTCAAGTGAAAACTCCTGCCTCTGCTGGAGGTTGCCATTTGCCTGAGTTCCCAGACTTGTGCAGTGATGCCTCAGTCTCTGCCTGCCTGTGTTTCTCCCAATCTCTTCCCCTGGGAACAACAGTTCAGCACCGACACACATTGAGGAAGGCCTAAAATCACTGCAAAATGTACAGTGGTTCAGGTTAGAGTATGAATTCTGATGTCAGTTCCTCTCTATTAGGGACTCTCTCTGGGATAAATATAAACCCAATTAAAATCTTAAGAGTTTTCGCAGGCATTGCCAAGGTGTGTAGCTAGAGTTTTCCTGCCTTGCCCACAGTCAGGACAAATCTCTGTCTCCCGCCAGTCCCACAGCCACTCAGACCCAACCAAGTAAACAAGAGACTTATATTGCTTCAAACTGTATGGCCGTGGGGGGTTTTTTTTTTTTTTTTTTTTTTTTTTTTTTTTTTTTTGGTTTTTTCGAGACAGGGTTTCTCTGTGTAGCTTTGCGCCTTTCCTGGAACTCACTTGGTAGACCAGGCTGGCCTCGAACTCACAGAGATCCGCCTGCCTCTGCCTCCCGAGTGCTGGGATTAAAGGCGTGCGCCACCACCGCCCGGCTTACTAACTGTTCTTATAGCTTAAATTAATTCATTTCTACAAATCTATACCTTGCCACGCAGCTCGTGACTTACGGGTATTTTCACATGCAGCTTGTCCTGGCGGGTGGCTGGCAGTGACTCCTTCTGCCTTCCTGTTCTTTCATTTCTCCTCTCTGTTAGTCCCGCCTATACTTCCTGCCTAGCCACAGCCAATCAGGTTTTATTTATTGACCAATCAGAGCAACACATTTGCCATACAGACCATCCCCCAGCACAGCCAAGTGGAGACCATCTCAGACACCTGCACTCAGGCCCATGGTCCCAATCATCTTCTATGCGGACCTGCTGGGTAAAGCCACGAGGAACCCAAGAACGGGCCCCCACAGGACATACAGAACATCCCACAGCAAAGGTGAATCTAAATTCTGTGAGAAAATGCAGAGATTTTAAAGCGGCAAAACTCTTGAAAGGAGACCATAGAATCATTTTTGATCAGTATCCGATTTAAAACAAGTCTACAGCTATAGTAGTCAGGACACTCTGATTTGGGTTTAAATAAAGACAAACAGGGCAACAGAACAAGGCAGTATTCAAAAGTGAACTTATTTGCTATGTTAATTTTTGATAAAGATTATAATGGCATTCCAATTAAGCACGATTGTTCTTCATAGCAAATGGTGCTGGACAATTTTGATGCTGATGTATAGGAGTTTAATTTTAAGAAATTCTTTAAAAGAAATCATAGACCTAAATATAAAGCCTGAAACTAAAATTGCAAGAAGGAAGCATAAAATATATTTTTGGTGACATCCAATTAGGCCAAATTTCTTAGGATTGACATGGGTTTGTAAAACTGTTAATGATCAAATCAGAAAACCTTCTTTGATAGATAAGAAAATGAAAATAGAGATTTTTCAAACCAAAAGAAAACACATTGTAAATCATATATGATAAAAGTCTTATATGCTGGATGTAGAATCTTTCAAACTCAGAAATAATAAAATTGACACTCCAAAATAAATGGACATCTCACCAAAGTACATATACAGATGAGTAAGTTCCTGAAAATATAGTCATTATGAGCTGGAACTCATATACTGCTTTGGGGATAAGAAATATAAAACTATTTTGTAAAACAATTCCGTAATTTCTCAAAAAATTAAGCATACTTTTTCATTTTTATCCAGCTATTCTATTTCTATTTGTCCAAAGTAATGAAAGCTTACATCCGCAGAAGAATTACATACTATTGTTCCTGGCAATTTTATACATAATAGCCCAAATGTAGGAACAAGCACATTGTCAAGGTGGGTGGCTCACCAGTTTGTAGCATGTCTTAATAAGTGGAAGATTACTCCCTATTGATGCACACAGCATCGTGGATAGACCTGAAAATAATTTTACAGAGTGAAAGGGATCAGATTAAAAGTGGAGCATGCTGTATTTTGTGGTTTTAAATTGAAAATGGAGTGTTGTTTTTCATGTTGAGAGGACGGATTGATTACAAAAGAGACAAACTTTTTGGGGTGAGGGAATGGCTTATTATTTTGATATGGTGACAACTTCACAGGTCGACACTCATCAAAATCCATCACAGGGCAGGCACACTTTAAGTACCTGCATGTAATTGTACATATAGATAAATGCATTAACACACACACATATGTATGGACACGCACACGGACCCGGTAAGGTGGGAAATTAGGAAGAGGCCTATAAAATTCTTACCTCTTATTTCTTCGACAGGCACCTACAAAATAAAATTCTGGTCCGCTTAAAAAAGCATCTAGACCTCCTTCACCAAATCAATTTCGGGCAGCAATAAAAGAATTTGAGGGAAAGTTTTAGTCATAAAGTGCACTTCAATTTGTGATAGGGGAAAGAGGTAGAAAACCAGAACTTCTGGGCTTAAGGGGTTACGAGAGGAAGGTGGGGGCAGCGAGAAAAAGAGAAAAAAAAAAGACTAAAACAAGCTCTTGGGGCAGGAAGGAGCAGTAAGCACCCACATCCTATCTCCTGCAACGACACGAATTCTTTAGCCACGTGGCTTCAAGTGAGTTAAAATGCCACAAGGGAGGCTCACTGTAAGCCCCTGCTTCTCCAGGTGAGCCCAGGGAGGCTGGCACTGCCCTCTAGCACCAACCACCCTCCCTCCCTAGACTAGGTGGCCTGCTCTCCGTCGCCCCCTTGTGGCATCACGAGAGAACCCGCAGTGACGCCTGGGGTCAGGTGTGCGCAATAAAGTGGGGGTGCCATGCAAGCTGCTGAGGCTTCCGCGTCCTGCCCATCCCCAGTCGTGCCGCCCAGAATCTATTTGCCAAACGCCCCGGTCACCCGGGCTGCGCACCTGCTTTACACTACCGTGCTTCCAGGTTTTAAGGACCACACTTGGGGAGAGGGAGCTAGATTGCAAGGTTAAGACGTCTCCTTCCCCGCATCCCCGGGCCCTAGGGCAGAAATCCCATCGTTTGGAAAGGAAGGACTGACCTCCCTTAAGGGACCCTCACCTATAGGGACCCAATCCTCAAGTTACAGGGGACAGCAGACGCAGTGAAGCCTCCTCCCTTACAACGCAGCGATTGCCCCAACAGCGTCCACTGTGCCCCAGCTTGCTCCACATATCGGCACGCCCCTCTGCACCCGCTGTCAAAGGCTGGAGGCCATACCTGGTCCCACCACCCCATCACTCCAGTAGCCCCAAGTAGGGAAGCCATCGGGGGTGGGGGGGTCGGGCGCATGTGCCGGGGTCACAGGAGGCCTTTCAGTGGGGTGGCCTCTAGCTCACACCTCTGACTTCCACCCTAGAGGAAACGGAGTGACTGGCAGGGGGGCAGGCAGCCACGGCCCTGGAGAGTATGGGTGTGTGGAGGCTGCACCGCCCGCACCTGGGGCTCTCCCACTAGACGGCGCGGTGTCTGTCCAGGTCACCCACTGTCTCTGCGCTCAACCCTCAGATCCTGCTCCGGTGGGTGGGTTGGGGGAGCAGACCCAGTCCCCGCCTGGCGGCTGCCCTGGGGCTGCATGCAGCCCCGAGAGAGCCACTTGCGAGACACAGTAGCGGCTTTGCCAGGACTGGCACGGTCCCCGGATTCGCGAGGAGGTCCGCCTCCTCCCTCCCCTTCCCGCGCCGCCTCCGCCTCCTTCCTCTGCCTCCACCCTCACCCCTTCCCGTCGGTGCGGAGCTCGGCTCCCGAGCAGCGCTCAGCCGGCCGCAGCTTGGTTGTGGGCTCGGGACAAGTGCTCCGTGCCTCTGCTCGAGATGGACAGCCGCTACACCAGCGCCGCGGGCATCGGGGACTTGAACCAGCTGAGTGCGGCCATCCCCGCCACGCGCGTGGAGGTGTCAGTGTCCTGCAGGTGAGGACGCGGCTCGGTTCCCTTCCTTTCATCCGGGGCTTGGTGGCACTTGGCTAGCGCTCCCGGTACCACGAGACTTGGCGCCGGGATGAGAAGTTGCTTCATGAGTGGGGACAGACACCCCAGTTGTGAGACTGACGCTCCCCGCCTCCCGCCCAGGTCAAGTGACACAGAGTTGGGGGGACTAGAGTGGTGGGCTTTGGGATGGAGTCTTGTTGGTTTCTTTCTGGGAAATGCAGTGAAAGTTGGCAGAGCTGTGACTCAGCTACGGGAACCCCAGCCGCCGCCCACTTTACAACCTTTATTTATTTATTTTTTAAACAACCGAAATCAGGGCCAGTAGTTCAGTGATGACGGCAACCCAAGGGTCAGTACTGCCAAAAGCGCGCGTGACTGCTGCGCACAGTGGCCTGGGACTCCTGCCCGCCCTCCCGGTGGGATCAGCTCCAGTTCTGCGCCTTCTTCCTCTCCACCTACTTCCTGGAACCATCCAACTTCCTCACCCTACACCCTTCCGGGACGTTTGCCTTAAGCCTGTAGCGGTTCCAGGTTCAGTCTTCCTGGCCGAGGCTTACCTAAGAATTGAGAAGTCACGACTGATTTTCTGCCCGCCAGTAGATAAACATGTGAATGCTTGCAGCAACTCTCAACTCTGGGACTGCCAGTGATGCTCAGTGGACTAGATCCTCCCGTAAGTCAAATAGAGTAGCCGCGCTGCCCCAGTTTCGCAGAATTAAGGATTCTAGAGTTATTGCATATACCCGGGTGCCCACTCCTGGTTTGAATACCTTTCACGGAGGAAAAATTCCACACATACCCCTCTCTTCCCCGGTGTTTTTAAATGCCCTCAAACGTTCTCAGTTTTTCTGTAGGCAAGCTTGTCTTAAACGACTCTAATAAACATGGGAGATTTTTGTTGTAAACAAACCCTGACGTTCGAACACCTTCAGCCTCTAAAACAGTGATTCTCAACCTTCCTAACGCTGCGACCCTTTAATACAGTTCCACATGTTGTGTTGACCCCCCAACCATAAAATTATTTTCGTTACTACGTCATAACCGTTATTTTGCTACTGTTATGAATCATGATTTAAATACTTGTGTTTTCTGATGGCCTTAGGCGACCCCTGTGAAAGGATTGTTCCACTTCGCCAAGGGGGTCGCGACCCACACGTTGAGAACTGCTGCTCCAAAACTAAAGGATCTTGCAAATTCACATTTCGGCACTCTAACCCTCTCCCACCCCCAACCCCCGCCCCCGTAGCCATGTTCTTTGGGTAAGGGATAGCCCTGAGACTACATAAGACGATTTGATTCGTCTCGAGGATGACTGACCTCAGACTGTGAAAACGATAATGGTATTCGTGGCAGCTGAGGCAGACCCTTGGCTTAGTAGGGTCATCCGCCTGTAGTGCTCCCCTAGGCTCCTTTCATTTAACAGCTGCCTGGCAGACTCTTGCAGCAATTCCTAGGTGCTTTTGTTCTCCCTGGAGCTGGCTTTGGGACTTAGGAGGTTACTGCTACCTCACACAGTCACCCAGTGGGTGGTCAGGAATTCTCGCTTATCAGCATTTTCTAGTGTTCCATCCTCTGTTCACCCTCCTGCAGGCTTGGGAGGGCACTAAACCCGGCAAGAATGCTGCACACTAATCGTGAAAGCCCTGTCGTCGTTCGTTCCTCAGGGTGATGTGGAATAGCACTGGCCTCAGGTGCCAAGCATTCACATCCTTATTTGCTGTAGGTACGCTGGGGATCCTGAAGCAATTGGCTCATGCCGGTTTGTTTCAGGTTCCTGCTCCAGGTCCTGGAGACTTTCTTCTCCATAGGGTTACTTTTTAGTACTTAAAAAAGTTTCAAATAAGAAAAAAAAAACCTCTAAAAGAGAAGTGCTTAATGTCCAATATTTCTTCTACGGCTGTGAGTTGTCTAGAATCAGTCAGTCGTTTACTTCTTGCTAAACCATATAGAAACTACTTTTGGGCAAGTGTACTTGGCAAGTCCGTAGCTTAAGGCAGCTCCATTTCATTTTTGTGAGGTTGAGAACTTTTTTTTGCCACCTTGGGAGGTAGTATGGTTTGAACTTCAACACCAGAGACCTGGGTGCAAATACTGGCCCTGTGACTTACTTTTATTACCTAAGAGTGGGCTCTTATTTAGTTTGTCTAAGGTTGTTCGTATCTGATAACGAAGCTAATTGTGGCATTTTCTGTAGAGCACTATGAGGGTTTTATGGAAGGATATGGGCTTGTACAATACATGGCACTGTTCACTATGGAAAACAAACCGTGAGCTATTATTGGGATACAGTGTCTTAGTTAGGGTTGCTGTGTCTATGATAAAACACCGTAACCAAATCAACTTGGGGTGGAAAGTGTTTCCTTGGCTCAAACAAGGCAGGAACCTGAAGGCAGGAGCTGATGCAGAAGCCATGGACGGGTGCTGCTTACTGTCTTGTTCTCCATGGCTTGCTCAGCCTGCTCTCTTATACAGCCCAGGACCAGCCGACCAGGGATGGCACCCCCCACAATGGGCTGGGCCTTCCCCATGATTCACTAATTAAGAAAATGTCCTACAGGCCTGCCTACAGCCAGATCTCATGGAGGAGTTTTCTCAGTTGAGGCTCCCTTCTTTTAGATCACTCTAACTTGTGTGTCAAATTGACATAAGATTAGCCAGCACATGCAGAAAATGGCACTTAGAGTTCTGCTAACGGAGTTCTGTAACTACTCTCTGTTTGAACTTTAGTAAGCAAGGTAATGAAAACGGACACAGCTGTTCCCAGAGCACAGCTGTCCCGGGATGCTTGTGGGGAGTTCACTTAGCAAGAAGGCACAACTCAGCCTTGCTGTGGGTCAGCAAGGCAAGGACTTCCCCATGCCGCATTGTCTGAGAGAGCTCTAATCGCTGTTGCTTCAAAAGCAGCTTACAATGGAAGCCCTTTTGGTAACCTCCTTCTTCTGGCCCCCTTAATCAAACGACTCCTTATCACTTTGGGAAGGAGAGAAAAATAACAATTGAAGCCAGAAGCTAAAGATAGCTCTTTTTACTGATCAAGTATCTCTCTGTGTGTATGTGTGTGTGTGTGTGTGTGTGTGTGTGTGTGTGTGTGTGTGTGTTTTATATATCCAGAAATTAAACTGTGCTCTGTGAGCAGTGCAAATAAGCTGTCTGAAAGCATGAAACGTGACTGGTAGATAAACATTATAGGAGCGAGCAACCTGGGATAAGGCCTAGCAATAGGCTTCTGCATGATCAGGGCTCGGACATTGTGGAGCTGAGGACTCAGCGTGCATGACAGGGAGATGGGGCGTGGCTAATCAAGGCAGATGTGCAGGGACTGGAGAGATGCCAGCATCAGTTCTAGTGGCTGTGAACTTGCGGTGTTAGTGAAGAAAACCACACTCTGGTTACGGTTACCTAAAGGCAGATTGGTAATCCCTGGTTTCCCTTCCACTCACTATCTTAAGTCATTTGTAGATTTTTAAAAACTTAAGTTCCCCAATTAACTGAACTCTCTACAGCAGAAATGATGCAACTTTAGCTAAGCTTTCAATTTTATTCTGAAAACACAGCAAAGAAAACTGATACTAAAGCTAATGAAAAAAAAATAATTTGCAGTAATTAATCGTTTTCTACAGAGCCTTTGGTTTCACTATTTTAGTATTTTTTTGTCATTTTCCCTGACAAAAAAATGGAGTGCTTCTGGCCTTCCCTAGCTCTTAAGTGCTGATCCGTTCAATTACTCCTGGAATGTGGAAGGAAGTGGAAATGGTGTGAGTGTGCACATCCTGGTAAAAATTCCAAAAGCTGGACCTAATATAGCTTCCTCGTCTTGTCACACCAATTCTCCCATGAGCTGTCTGAATGTAGCGTGACAGACACGTGCTTACCATCTATCAAGACACCTGGCAAATAAATATGGCAACCAAATATGATCCAGAGCTAGTGTTCCAAAGCACATGGGGTGAACATCCTGGTCCGGGCCAGTGTGGCTGTGCCATGCTGCTCTGTGTTCAGGCTCCCTCCCTTTCTTTACTCCCTCTTCTTGATTAGATTTTTTTTAAAAATCTGTTTTCAAGACTTAGGTCAAATGTCATCTTCTTTCATGACCTCTTTTTTAAACTGTGATTTTCTTGACTCCTCAAACAGCTGGTGCACACTACTATCAAGCAGGTATAATGTAATTCTTGGACACAATATAAGGACCATTGTGACTTTCATGAAGATGTATTCTGAGTGGCCAGTAAACATGCAGTGCTAAATGAAATCATCTGGTGTCTGTGAAGTGGAGAGGGTTCCTGTTACAGACTTCTGGGCTCCAGAGCAGATCTCCTGAGACAAAATCTCTGGGAATGTGCTGCTGGACTCCGTGCCTCCACAAGTTCACGTATGCTGGTTATGTACTCTACTACACCTGCAGGCCTGATGATCAAATGACTCGAGAGTCTAGCACGTTGATTGCAACTTATTCTTTATGCTGGATATTTCTATCCAAAGTCTCTATAGCCTTTGGGAAATGGAGGTATATGTAATCAGTTTAAGTCTTAGTGAGTTTGTCTTTTAAATTAGAAAGTTATGTTAGAGAATTGAAAAGTTTTGAGAGAAGTTTGAAGTGCATTACTTAAAAGATGATTGGTTTTCAAGTCAAGATGAGTCTTATAGTTGAGTGGGTTCAATTTCTTTGCTTCATTTATAGCATTTCGCGGTGGGCATGTCACTTGGGAGGTTTATTGCTTCCTTGTGCATGGCATCCCCAGTCCTCAGCTTCTCATCTTTCTCTGACATTATTTCTATGACTTTTGATGAGACATTGTAATATACTGAAGTGAAATAGGAGGAAATCTCACGATTGGCATTTGCAAAGTTGCTAAGTCACAATTTATGTTTCATAAAATAAAGAATAGTTTTAAGTAGGCAATTATACTGGTATAAAACAATGATATTATATAATTTTTAATAATTTAATCTAACACATGTATGGAAACAATGAGATGTGATAT